GATGTTTATACTCTATTTACAGTTTTTTACCATATCTTAAATTCAGTATGGTCTTTTTTTTTTGTTAGTGTTGTTATTATTTTATTATTTTTTTTATTTTTATTTTGTTTTTAGTAGTAAAAATACTGTACTTGAATGGTTGGTCTTTTTATTTTTGATTTTGAGTAATGAAGTGATGACATGAGGTAATAAGTTTTCTTTCAGTGTATGTGCTGAAGGTGGGAGGAAGTCTCAGGTTATCGGCAGATCCGTGCTTCTGGAGGCTACACTGAGTTCCCCTTTTCTACAGTTGGCAGTGGGAAAAATTTTGTCTCGTAAGGTTTTATTGGTTGTCTGTTCTTAAAGGTGCTCCACTGTGTTTTGGCACTTGTAGAGTTGCCCTTATGTCATCAACCCCCTTCCCCAATCTTCCTTGGCTTATTCCTTCTCGACTTTTTCTCTTTACTTCTGGTTAGATATCTTTCCCTTGGTATTTTAAACACACTTTTTTTTGTTTCTTTAAGTTGTGAAACAATATTTCATTAAATAAGTATATGGATTTTTTATTATGTTATGTTGTTATATTATCTATATATTATTATTTATTATTGATTTTAGTATAGAAATACTGTACTTGAATGCAGTATGGTCTTTATTATTATTGATTTTGAGTATAGAAGTGATGTACAGGGTAATAAGTTTCTTTACAGTCTAGTGCATTAAGGTGAAGGAAGTTCAGGTTACGGCAATCACGTGCTTCTGAGCTACACTGAGTTACCTATTCTACAGTGGCCAGTGGGAAAATTTGTCTCGTAGGTTTTATGTGTGCATCACTTAAAGGATCTGCCCACTGTGTGTTGAGCACTGATAGAGTTGACCTTTTTCATCAACCACCTTCCCAATCTTCTTGGCTTATTCCATTCTCGATTTATTTTCTTTACCTTCTGGCTAGATTCTTCTTGGTATTTAAACACACTTTTTTAGTTTCTTTAATTGGAAGACAAATGTCTAAAAATATAAGTTTCTTATTTAGCAACCTGATCTTCAACTTCAAATTCTTAAATATTCAAAATTTCTTGCATATTCACCATGCTATGTTGTTTAAACCATTTCAGGGTCCGTCCGTTAATCTACAGGTTTAGCTGGTGAGTGTCTCAAACCTAATCTGATTAAAAACTGTGAGTGTACATTTGGCCTAGATATGAGAGAATACATTATGTGTATGTGATGCACACATAAAACAGTCTGCAGCATCCTGTTTTAAGTGATGAGAAAAAATAAATCATTGATTTTTCGATTAAAAACGATTTGAGTGTTTTTCGTATTTTTTTATGTTGTATTTGCGATTTCAATGTCTCATTTGATAGAATGGAAATGACATATTACAGAAATAGAGATGATTATTTGATTGGTTTTGATTGGAAATGGCTGAAACTGAGCTTCAAATAGCGGAAATGTTAATTTTGTTGATATTCAAGAGTAAACAAACGACCTCACTCGTCTATACAGTCAGTGTGTCTAATTACATTCACAATTGGTGATGATATTTTGATACCAATTATTACAGTATTGCATAACAGTAAATCTTCGATTTTTTGTTGTGAAATAAAATTCATATGTGAATAAAAATCGATAAATGGAAATTTATTGTAAAAGCCTAAAATTAACTAATTTGAACAGAGAAATGTTAGTTAGTTTCACCAGAATTACCTACATTTGTTTTATTCTGAGCCTATTTTGAAATTGGAATATTTTGACGTTTGTTTAAATTGGAAATATAAACAATTTCGATCCTTTATTTTGTAGTTTGAAACAGTTGGGACTTGGCGATTTCTTGTGCCTAATCGATAGAATGAAGTAATACTTGAAATAGTAAGAATTTGGTTGATTGGAATAATGTATTGGCCTAAAATGATTAAAGTCGGCAAAATCGCCGATTTAATATCCTGACACATCAAAATTTGCTGAGAGCTTAATTTCGTCATTTTTCCACAATTTTCGTTACTTTTTGTTTATTACTTTCACAAAAGATTCTCTACATTTCATAAGAAAAATACAATTTTTTTTTTTGAAAATTCTTGGACACTGGTGCGTGACTCCGATTTGGGCTTGGACCCGTAAGGGTTAAGAAATTTGTTAAAATTTGTTTTATCCAAATAACAACATCTTTAGCACTGTCATTTAACATCTCTTTTTCATCATTATTTTTCGTTCTGTATTTTTCCACAATTTTCTTATTCTTCATATATCTGTATGGACTTATTCACACATCAATTCCTCACTTTGATGCTGATGACAAGCACCTTTAAGTTGACTTATGAGAAATATTTCATGTTTCCAGATCATTAAAAGGCATAACATTAGATCCAAAACACATCTTCACCTTTCATCTTTCGATTTTTTGTCTATTAATTATTTCAATTGCCTTGTATATCCACATCAATTTAAAATACTATTTTCATCAAGTTTATGGCGATCTGCCACCAGTTAGCACTTCACACTTTTTTATATACAGGGGGCCCAAATGTTATGTTCAGGTTTCTGACCTCAGAAACCATACAAACGATAGATGGAAAAGAGCAATTGTTCATTTCAGTACTCCAAAATATGTATTGATATGTGTACACTTATCATATGTTACAATTCAAACGTGGACCCCCGGGTTAACGATTATTTTTTCACGTCCAAAGTATGTTCAGGTGCCAGACTGACGAATTTATCCATAAGGAAGATTGTGAATATGATGCCATTTCAGACCCCCAAACAGTACAGTACAAATGCACTTACAAATAACTTACATAATTGGTCGCATCGGAGGTAATCTGTTATGCGGGGGTCCATGTACAGCTAGGCACAAAAAAAAAAAATATGATGCCAGTCACCCTTCCCTCACAACTGAGAGGTCTAGTACCAAGCCTCACAACTGAGAGGTCTAGCACCAAGCCTCACAACTGAGAGGTCTAGTACCAAGCCTCACAACTGAGAGGTCTAGCACCAAGCCTCACAACTGAGAGGTCTAGTACCAAGCCTCACAACTGAGAGGTCTAGCACCAAGCCTCACAACTGAGAGGTCTAGCACCAAGCCTCACAACTGAGAGGTCTAGCACCAAGCCTCACAACTGAGAGGTCTAGCACCAAGCCTCACAACTGAGAGGTCTAGCACCAAGCCTCACAACTGAGAGGTCTAGTACCAAGCCTCACAACTGAGAGGTCTAGCACCAAGCCTCACAACTGAGAGGTCTAGCACCAAGCCTCACAACTGAGAGGTCTAGCACCAAGCCTCACAACTGAGAGGTCTAGCACCAAGCTTCACAACTGAGAGATCTAGCACCAAGCCTCGCAACTGAGAGGTCTAGCACCAAGCCTCACAACTGAGAGGTCTAGCACCAAGCCTCACAACTGAGAGATCTAGCACCAAGCCTCACAACTGAGAGATCTAGCACCAAGCTTCACAACTGAGAGGGTCTAGCACCAAGCTTCACAACTGAGAGGTCTTGCACCAAGCCTCACAGCTGAGAGATCTAGCACCAAGCTCACAACTGAGGGTCTAGCACCAAGCTCTCACAACTGAGAGGTCTTGCACCAAGCCTCACAACTGAGAGATCTAGCACCAAGCCTCACAACTGAGAGGTCTAGCACCAAGCCTCACAACTGAGAGGTCTAGCACCAAGCTTCACAACTGAGAGGTCTTGCACCAAGCCTCACAGCTGAGAGATCTAGCACCAAGCCTCACAACTGAGAGGTCTAGCACCAAGCCTCACAACTGAGAGTCTAGCCCAGCTTCACAACTGGAGGTCTGCACCAAGCTCACAGCTGAGAGATCTAGCACCAAGCCTCACAACTGAGAGGTCTAGCACCAAGCCTCACAACTGAGAGATCTAGCACCAAGCCTCACAACTGAGAGATCTAGCACCAAGCTTCACAACTGAGAGGTCTTGCACCAAGCCTCACAGATGAGAGATCTAGCACCAAGCTTAACAACTGAGAGGTCTAGCACCAAGCTTCACAACTGAGAGGTCTAGCACCAAGCTTCACAACTGAGAGATCTAGCACCAAGCTTAACAACTGAGAGGTCTAGCACCAAGCTTCACAACTGAGAGGTCTAGCACCAAGCTTCCACAACTGAGAGTCTAGCACCAAGCTTAACAACTGAGAGGTCTAGCACCAAGCTTCACAACTGAGAGGTCTAGCACCAAGCTTCACAACTGAGAGGTCTAGCACCAAGCTTCACAACTGAGAGGTCTAGCACCAAGCTTCACAACTGAGAGGTCTAGCACCAAGCTTCACAACTGAGAGGTCTAGCACCAAGCTTCACAACTGAGAGGTCTAGCACCAAGCTTCACAACTGAGAGGTCTAGCACCAAGCTTCACAACTGAGAGGTCTAGCACCAAGCTTCACAACTGAGAGGTCTAGCACCAAGCTTCACAACTGAGAGGTCTAGCACCAAGCTTCACAACTGAGAGGTCTAGCACCAAGCTTCACAACTGAGAGTCTAGCACCAAGCTTCACAACTGAGAGATCTAGCACCAAGCTTCACAACTGAGAGGTCTAGCACCAAGCTTCACAACTGAGAGATCTAGCACCAAGCCTCACAATTTATGGATTATGTGCCAGTCCCCAGTTTTCAGGCCATGCACTAAGCCCTAGAATTTTAAAGTCTTGTGCTAACCTATACAATTTAGGGTTTATGCACTAAACCCCACATTATAGGGTTATGAGCTAATGATTTCTACAGAATAATGTTAATAATTGTTTTGGAAAAGGCGATATTAGTGACATATTTACTTCATAGAAAGCCCCTTGTTATGCAGTGCATTTCAAGCTTAGGGATTGTTTGCCAAACTCTACAATTTAGGGATAATTTGCCAATCTAACAATTTAGGGGTTGTTTGCCAAACCATGCAATTTTGGGTTCATGTGTCAAGCCAAAGAAAAAAAAGACACCATGAAAATCTGAAAAATGAATGATAATATTTCCTTCAAGAAAAATGTGGAATACGAGAATCTTGGGACTTACAGATGCTCCTCACTTTATTATAGTTTGACTTACAATATTTTGACTTAATGATGGTACAATAAAACTTTTTTAAAACTTTTTTTTTTTTTGCTGTACAGTACTGTGCATTTATTGATGAAATAAACTTTTATTCATTTATTTATTTTTCAATACTGGTATTTAGTCAGTTACAGTAATTATTTGTTTATTTACTTATTCAGTGATATTTATTTATCTGTCATATATTTGACACAATAGTTTCAACTTAAGATTGGTTCATCAGAACCTAACCCCATCGTAAGTCAAGAAGCACCTGTACAAAGCTTAAGAATTTTGCGGTTCAACTATATTTAGAATTACTTGATCATGCTTCATTTTCTCATTAAGGTTCACTAAAATATACTGCGAATATATCGTTTAGAAAACTGACAAGTTGATAAACAAGACACTTGTGCAGCATTTAGGTATCTTTATTCTGGAAATGTTTCACCAGCTAGTGGTTTCTTTAGTCCAGTGCGGAGAAAGGTGGAAGATGAGGAGGAGTTTAAGGTAATCAGTCCCTCAGCCTGGAGTCGATGTGTTCAGTCCATCAGTTATGATAAAAGTGCAGCGTATTTGTGGATATGGGGCTTACATACCGATGGATGATGATAGCTTGCCTGTAACATTTACCAGCTTCAGAGATGAGCTTTATACATCACTAAACCGTATCTAAATATGATATATTGTATTTACAGGAGTAATGATTTTAATCATCTCTGTGTCCTCCATCCTGACCGTCTTGTTGTGTACACAATCTCTGTGACCGCGGGTCAGGCTGGCCATGGTGACCACACCCGCCTCACCATCGCCTACCAACACAAACTCCAGCGGAATGCCCACTCCATGATTACAGGTGAATTATCATTATTCGTTGAGAGAAAAAATAAGGCACATTACTGTGACTAGTCCAAGTTGGACCACAACATCGCTATAAGTTAATTTCTCCTATGTACAGGTTATTTGTGTATTATTATTCATATATCAGTGAAAAATACTAAACTTTTATTCATTATGGATGATGCTTAGTCTCCTGTTTCATTCTTAATGTTATTTTGTTCAATTTCATATCAAGGAACTTTTTTTAATGAACAAAAATGCAGTAGTGCCTCAATGCTAACATTAATGCATTCCTGAAAATTAATGGTACTCTAAGTTGAGTGCTTGTTACTTGGAGCTTCTTTTTTCATAAAAATGCATGCTATAATTGGAGATACTTTCTCGATCCATAATATTCTGAATAATTTTTTTTAACAATATTTATCAAATATTTTATGTTAAATATTGTTCTGTTTCATTTACAAATAGTATTAAACATTGCTTGATTAACATATACATGTTAAATAAATGGGTGAGGCTCTATGAGCAAATTTTGCTGAGAAAAAAAAAAACAGTTTTGGAGGGAGAACAATGAGTTGAGTAATTGTATTAACATGATTGTAAACGAACCACAGAGCACGTAGGGTTTGAACCCCACCTCATGCTAACCTCCTTATGGTGTATATAAATATACCTAGTTGGATGAATCTTATTAGAGCCAGCTGGCCCAGTGTCTAACACACTGACCTGTGAATTTTAAGACTCGCTTGCCATAGGTTCAACCCCACCCGTTCTGTGGTTTGTTAAGTTGAATAAGCCTGGGCAGCAAGTGGGCTTGGTGGTTAATAACATAGAAGAGATGTTAGATGAGTAGGTGGAGTTGCTGGGAAGATGAATGGAAGTTTGAGGAGATGTTAAATGTTGATGAAGAGAGGGAGGTAGTGATTTCATACATTGGGCAGGGAGATATATTATCTTTTAGGAGTGAGGAAGAGGCAGATGTGAGTGTGGCAGAGGTGTGTGAGGCAGTGGATAGAATGAAAGGAGGTAAAGTAGCTGGAATAGATGAGATTAAGACAGAAATGTTAAAGCCAGGTTGGGATATAGTTTTAGAGGAGTCAGTGCATTTGTTCAATGTATGTATGAAAAGGGAAAAGACACCTAGGGATTGACAGGGAATATGTGTATATCCTTTGTATAAAGGAAAAGAGGATAAGAGTGTGTATGAATTATAGTGGAATAAGTGTTGAGTCTCCATAGGGAAGTGGAACAGAATTCTTCCTCCATAAGCCATGCGTGTTGTAAGAGGTGGCTAAAATGCTGGGAGCAAAGGGCTAGTAACCCCTTCTCCTGTTTACATTAAAGTTATGAGAGAAACGTTTGTTATTCTTTTCGGGCCACCTGCTTTGGTGGGATTTGGCTGGTTGTTGAAAGAAGTGTTTCAAGTATATCAAGTAAAGTACATGTTGGAGTTATCACTGAAAGAATTAAAACCATGACAGGTTGTTAATACAGACATTAATCCAGTCACAAAAAGATTACAATGTAGTTTATATGTGGTTTTGAATAATAATATTTTAGCAAGGTATGGTTGAAGTTAGACAAGCAATTATGAGTTATTTATAATTGGTAAAGTCAGGGTATTTTTCCAGAATGGCAGGTGATATGCCATTGAGGAAAAAAGGCTTTGACATTTCTTGAACACCTTATGTATTCCTGCACAATGTATGCAGGGTCTAGGGCATACTGAAAAATTGAGCTTTGGCAGTCTTTTATCTCACTACTTCATAATTTGTTTGAAATGTTTGTAGCAACAAGTAATAAATGGATTAAATGGTTCACCTCCAAAATTTAATATAGGTTATCATTTGAATTTAATATTCATTTTGTATTTTCAAGAAAACATCTCACTAATTTTTTTCCAGGTCCTTTTGGAGGTGTAAAGGGCAAAGACTACATTGCTGTTCAGTCACTTGATGGTTGCATCACAGCTTTTGAACAAGAAAGTTTTGCATTCAACAGTTTTCTCCCAGGGTTTCTACTGCCAGGACCTATAGCTTATGTTGCCAAGTCTGATGTCATTATTACAGTGTCCTCAGACTGGTGCCTTCAGTGTTTCAAGTAAGCTTTAAAATATAATTGTTACTTTCATCTTTGTTTCATATACTTTTAAATGGTTTGAATATACTTATAAAAGATAATACAGTACTATAGAGTCTTAAAAGGCATTTAATCCATTACACTATTTCCTAGCTTCCCTTTAAAATTTATATATTTTGCAAAACTGTACATTCTTCTACACTGCTACTCAGCCAAAACTCTCTTTTCTAATCCTTCTTTATTCCACCCTTTTCCTATATCCATGTCACTCAACTCATTTACATCTGTCATTGTATATGTTGTTTTTTGCACACTTTGAGAGATTGCAATCATTTACACTAAATACAATAATTTATTGTGTGTTTCCTGGGTTTATGTTCTTCCGAACCTCATTTTAACTCAAGTCAAAGAAGTTCTTATTCTTTATTTTATTTCTGCCACACCGGCTGCCTCCTACCAAAGTAGGGAGACGCAAAAAAGGAGACTTTCATCATCATTCATTAAATAGCTCTCTTACCAGAAGTGTGTAGGCATCACAATTCAAATGACCCAACAAACTGTAATAGCCCAGTCACTCCTTCAGAGCGCAGGAACTGTGACTTTCCACCTCTAGGACTCTAGTCAAGCTAACCTGTTTCCATGAATTCCTTGATAAATGTTGCTTGCTCACACCAACAGCACATCAAACCCTTATAAACACTTGTCTCCAGTCACTCCAGTCTGACATGCTCCTACAGATCTGCTGGATGTTCAAGTTCCTCCCACTTAAAGCCTGTTTCACACCCTCCCTCCAACCTTTCAGGACAACCTGCACCCTTTCTTCCTTTGACCCAGATTTATGTGCCCTCTTCGTCATTCTGTTGTGCTCCATCTTCTCATCCTCCATCCAGATATTTAGATATGTTTATTGCATACTCCATCCCTCCACTCTGATATCCAATTTTTCATTGCTTAACATTTTTCTTGCTCTTATCTTCCTCTTTCCTGTGTTTGGTTTTAATTTCCTTTTCTTTCGACACCCTCCCAAGCTCATTCATCAACCTTTTGAACTTATGTTCAATCTCTCCCAAAGAAATTGTGTCATAAGCAAAGAGTAACTGTAACATATCAAATTCACTAACTTTTAATCCCACACTTTTCCCCAAAACCCAAGCATTCACTTTTTATAATCGCGCTTATAAATATATTAACAACCAGGGTGATATAATATATCCCTAAGGCAAATATTTACTGGAATATAGCTGCCTTCTCTCCTACATACCCTAACCTAAGCATTACTCTCTGCATAATTTTTTTAGTGCGTATAGTAATCTACCACTTATTCCATACATTTGCAACATCTGCCCATCACCCCTTTCATTTGCATTTTCTGAATTTATAAATGTGATTAACAGTTCCTTACCCTTATATGAAGTATTATTCACTTGTATGCCTCAATGTAAATAATTAGTCTGCACATTCCCATAAATAGCAAAAAGTAGCAAACTCAGGAATAACAAAATTCTAAAATTATTAATATATTTTGGAGGGAGGGAGTAAAGGAGGTTTAGTGTGTTAGGGGCTAGAACATGATCATGTATGTGTTAGCGAGCTAGATTGGAGTGGAGACAATGGGTTTTTATGGCTTACGTGCTGTTGAAGTGTGAGTAAGGTAAGATTTATGGAGGGATTCAGGGAAACTGATTAGCAAGATTCCAGTAATTGAGGTAGGAAGTATAATGCTTGCATGCTACAGGAGAATTAAGTACTACTTTCTTTCAACACACCGGCTGTATCCCACCGAGGCGGGGTGGCCCAAAAGGAAAAACGAAAGTCTCTCCTTTTACATTTAGTAATATATACAGGAGAAGAGGTTACTAGCCCCTTGCTCCCGGCATTTTAGTTGCCTCTTACAACACACATGGCCAACGGAGGAAGAATTCTGTTCCACACACCCATGGAGATAAGAGGAAATAAACAAGAACAAGAACTAGAAAGAAAATAGCAGAAAACCCAGAGGTGTGTGTGTGTATATATATGCTTGTACATGTATGTGTAGTGTGACCTAAGTGTAAGTAGAAGTAGCAAGACGTACCTGAAATCTTGCATGTTCATGAGACAGAAAAAAGGACACCAGCAATCCTACCATCATGTAAAACAATTACAGGCTTTCATTTTACACTCACTTGGCAGGACGGTAGTACCTCCCTGGGTGGTTGCTGTCTACCAACCTACTACCTAGGAGAATTAAGTACAGTATGTTGAAATTCAGAGGGTCATCTGAACTGTGATTTCAGTACTTCTGGCAAGGCAGCAGTTAACTGAATGATGATGAGTATGTTTCATATTTTGGGTCACCCTACCTCTGTGGGGAAACTGTTAAAAAAATTTACTGTATACTTTTTCCAGTTGTATTCAGCAGACTTATTCACAGTACAGATATGACAGTACTGTACTGAAGAACTGTGGAATAAACAAATGCTCCCCCTTTTCTCCAGGGCATTTTTTCAACTCACTACAAAAAAAAAAAAAATATCAGAAAAACACAGAATATATAGATGGAAGTCAGGTGAGCTGTAATCAGTCAAGCTACTAAAAGTGGAACCCTGATTTCCCATAAACACATTATAAATTGGGGTTACTGAAAAAATTTAAGGGCTATCTAACCAAGACAAAAATTGTCATAAATTCAGGGAAAGGAGAGAGTGTAAATTGGGAGTTCTCAACATTTCTTGGGGAACTGATAAGATTTGCTGATAATTAGGGAGTTGCTATAAAATTTTTGATTACCTCACTTTAGTAATAAGGTAAAAAATGATTAATTAAAATTTACCACTCTATAACCTGTCTAGTTTTAATTAGCGTGTAAGCATTAGGTTTAGTCTGCCCGAAATGCCCTAGCATGTTAGTGGCTTTCTTTGTACTTAACGTTTTATAAAATGTAAAGCACATATTGTAACCTTTGCAAAGAAATAAAAATTGCACTGTATTCTATTGTACTACAATGTACACAGATATCAGGCTGTGGCCGTAGCGACCGATCCCGAGAAAGACATTGGCAGTAGCAGCGGCAGCAGTAAAGGTGGAAAGCGACTGGTGCCTGAGTGGACACAGCAGCTTGGTGAAGCAGCTTTGGATCTTTGTGTGTTATCTCCTGCAGAAGGACCTACAAGTCTTCTTGTCCTGGCCCACCACGCCGTCTTTTGCTTCAAGGAGTCCGGAGTTCTCAAGTTTGTTAAAAAGCTTGAGTACAACCCATCCTGTTTCATGGCCTTCATTGTTGGTAGGTTGCAAACTTAAGCATTACCCAGTGAATAACAGCACACTTGAATTGCATTAACTCAAACCCAATTAACTTGAACATTTGATAAACTACACTTAATACTTCAAAATGGATAAAGCATAAGTTTCTCTTTCTTAGCCATACTCATAAAATTAGTAAAATGACTATTTTGTAAAACAAATTTTGAACACCATATTTTATTTGGACAAGATGTACAGGGATTGGTAAATGCCCTATTATTTTTTTTTCACTATTTTACTGTATTTAATCTGTGTAAAAAATTGATGAGTAATACTGATTTATGGTTAAGAAAATTGTTAGCCTACTGCAGATGATGCATGCCTATAATAGCGAGAGATACACTGCTAAAATAACATTCCCAATGTTTAACAGCCTGAATTTTATAATGAATTGGCAGTTTCCACTTAAGGGGGGTGCACCTTGATGGTACTGAAGGGCTCTTGATCAAAAGAATTTTTTTTGCCCTACCTTATTCTAGGATCAGTGATGATTACCAAGAATTCACAAAGTGCTTCATGACCCTTCCTTGTTGAGTGCTTCACCATGGGTGTACAGCCTCTCCTCACTTAGCGACATACTCGTTTACCGATGACTCGGACTTATGATGGTCTCTGACCAGTATGCATACCTAAATGTACACATATATTAGAGCTGATTTCCTCTGTTCTGTTTATTACATTATACAGCACACTACTGTATAAACATTTAAAAATATACCAGAAATATTATAAATGGTCAAAGGTGGCATTAAAACAATATAGAAGATGATTGACACAAATCCACTACCATTATAGTTTGCTGATGTGGTCTTGGAACAGAACTCCATCGTTAAGTGAGGAGAGGCTGTACTATAAATTGTGTGATTGCTCATGAAGCTCCAGCAACCTTTCAAAATTCATAAGGGCAGTTGTCACAGAAATGTGGTACTAATGTTGTACAAAATATACCTATATTTCTGATTAATACTAAATTGGTTATCATATACTATCCATTTACTCTTTGATGCAATAAGATCATAGTAAACAGATGATATCACAATATGCGGAATAACCACAGTGAAAAAAAAGTGAATTTCCAAGCACTTTTGTGATTTCTCACATTATCACAGGTCCTCAATAATGTGAGAAATCACAAAAGCACTTGGAAACTCACTGTTTTTTCACATTGGTTATTTTACTTAATCTTTGATGTCTTGTTGCCCTGATTTTGAGAAAACACTCTCTCAGAAAGACTACCTGGCATTCCTATGATCATAAGCACCAAAGACTTGAAGCATTTACAAAATAATTCAGTAATTCAGTAATTGAAACACTAATTCTTGATTGAGGTGTGACATGGCTAACAAGTAATAAAGTGACACATGCAGCAAAAGACCTTAAATACAATGTTTCAACTATCTGAGAATTTATCACCTACAAAATTGCTATATGGCCAGGTACGTTGCTTTCGTCTCTCTTGTCATAGTTTGTTGGTTCAAACCAAAAGCATTGACTAGTATTTTTATTGGTTAGCCAAACTAGAGTCCTGGAGGTGGAAAGTACATTGCCTGCACTCTAAAGGAGGGGTTTCGGATATTTGCCATTTAGAGTGACATTTATACTGTTGTATCTGCACACCCCCAACAAGACAGTGATAGTGTGAATGGTGGTGAAAGTATTTCTTTTTTGGGTCACCTGCCTTGGCAGGAGACAGCCAGCATGTTGAAAAAAAAAAGAAAATGCCATACTAATGAAAGTCTCCTTTTGCTGTGCCTTTTTACCATTCGTTACATGGAAGAGCTACTTTTTAGTGGTGAGGGCAGATTGGTCTGCCATCTGTGTCTGCCCACAGATTAATGATTCATTTATACATGAAGAGTCCTCAGCACATCACTAACCCATTTTTTTATGTTTTGCCGCCAGACAATTACGTGCACGTGTGTGTTGCGAGCCACACACAAAACTTACTGGTATATCGGGAGTCAGAGTTGAAGTGGGCTTCACAGTTACCTTTTACTCCAGTTGCTATTGCTCGTGCCAGCTTTCCAGTAAGATTATATCTTATTTACTAGTAATAATGATAAAATTACTGACAGAATGTTAGGTAAGTGGACACAGATGCAACTAATGCCACATTTTATTGTGGCCATGTTTTGCTTACCAGGGACTGTCAAGCTCCTGGAGAGTGAAACATTGCCACAATAAAATGTATTTGCATCTGTGTACATTTCCCTAGCATCTTATGTATTGTATGATCCTTTATTATCTCACATGAATTTGAGCCACTTGTTACATTGATCTGGATATTAGTTATGTAAACTAATGTTGTAGTACTATACCTTGGTTATGTCTGTAGGATGGTGGCTTTAAATAGCTGGTTTGAATCATGGATCCATTTTTTTTTACTCCTACCTTAAAGTGCTCGGTGCTTGTTTAGCAGTACCTTTTGTGTATTTGTGTTGTCAGAGTACAGTATGTTTCATAATCTATATATATGAATCATTGTGAACTTAATGGTAGGCTCTGAAACACCTGAATTGAATTATGGGCCTTTTCTATCACACTCCAGCTGTGAAATATATTTTTACAATCTTTTTTATCCTTGTTGGGTTAAACTAATCAAGCCAGTCCAACTGACCAATGTCATATTTTCAAAAGTGTCCTTGATTTATCAAAATCTACTTAAGTAGAAAGTGTAAAACAGATTTGCCACTTAATGTTGCACATAGTATTTTTTATATTGCTGGTGCAAAGATAGCTTCATCAATGTGTTGATAAGAAACCTGGAGAGTTCTGACAGTAAGTGAAGAACTTTAGAAAGACACTTGATTCTAGGGTTAGTCATGCTATGATAAGAAACCTGGAGAGTTCTGACAGTAAGTGAAGAACTTTAGAAAGACACTTGATTCTAGGGTTAGTCATGCTATGATAAGAAACCTGGAGAGTTCTGACAGTAAGTGAAGAACTTTAGAAAGACACTTGGTTCTAGGGTTAGTCATGCTATGCATACCAACACCTAGAGTTGTTTGCACAGACTGCCAGCTTCAGAAACAAAATTAACACTTTTTCAAAAAAATCTCTCAGTAGCTCACAAATAGTTGTACATGAATGGTATATAATACAGACAAGATGAAGAATTAGAGACAAGTACAACATCTGGGTATCTTTATTTGTAGATGTTTTGCCAACCAGTGGCTTTATTAATACAAGTATATAATGTGAAGAATGTAGAATTATATACAAAAGATGATTATTATTATTATTATAATCAAGGGGGAAGCGCTAAACCCGGAGGATTATACAGCGCCTGGGGGGGGGGGATGTGGAAGGCATTCAGGCTTAATTCGGGGAACTGGAGCACAGATCCAATTCCCTAAATCAAGAGCCCCTCACCAACATCAAGGAACCTTCCTTGAGGGGTATACAAAAGATGAGGTAATCAGTCCCTCAGCTTCGGAGCTGTTGAAGAGCATTGTAGTATATAAGTGCCAGTCTCCAAGCCTGTGCTTCAGATTCTTCAAGACCCCAGTGCTCTTCACCAACTCCAAGGCTGAGAGGCTGATTACCTCATCTATTGTATATGTCCTTGTACTGTATAGATAGTCACTGGATGGTGCAACATATACAAATAAAGATTCCTAGATGTTGCACATGTATCTTAATTCTTCAGCTCACAAATAACCCATACTTAGGAGAGAGACCTTATAATGATGTTGTGGTCCAGGATGGACTATTGTCAAGTCCCAATGGTTGTTACTTGACAGTGGTCTGGGACAAACCTAAATATCTTCATAAATATCCCCTCCTGAGCACAGGTTATTTGTGTTGCCCCAGCCACGGTTTGATGTTTATGAATGCTTTTGACTTTAGTAGTGCAGGTAGTTGAAGATTAAGGCTGAATGATACTAGAATACTGTTTGAACAAATGATTTAAAAAACCCACAGGTTTATAAATGAACTAGAGTTGATATATATGAAGGTTAAAACTACTATAAACTTTACTAACCGACAAAGGACCATTTTGTCGAGCCCATTTAACTGTATTTTCATTCACACAGGGCCAGCGATTCTTAAGGGTAAGCCTTTGTCCACACTACCAAAGGTTCAATTTCTTGCTTCAAGTTACATTTAAAAATACATTACAAATGTATGTCATATGCAGATTTAGAATTCTTTTGTTTTAATTGCTTCATAGTATAGATGCTTTTTATTTTTAGAAAATTTATACTGTTGTTGACTTCAATTTTGATCTTTATACAGTATGTGCCTTTTCTATATCATTAATTTTTATATAAAATAGAGAGCTTTCAAGGCTAAATGACCCCAATGGGTTTAGTGCTTTTGTTGAATATAATAACTTGCATCATTTATTCATACTTGAAAGTAATATTCTTCTTACAAAAAATATTACTGTAGTGCAGGAAAATTTTCCTATACCTAGATTGCATGTGGTTAGTCAGTAGTAATTTAAAAATGCATATTAGTGGTAAACATAGGTAAGTGACCTATAGTTATGCAGTCTCAGTAGAAGTTGAATACTTTACGTATTAAGAAAATACATTTAGATACATATTTTGAATTGAAACTGCTGGTAATTTACAATTTTTCAATCTGTTTCCTGCTTTCTATTAAAATTAAAATATTTTGACTAAAAATTAATTATTTTAGAGTCAAAGTAACTATTCTGTGTTAGCAGATAGTTGTATAAAAGATGAGATGAATCTGAGAACAGCCAGAGGAAGAATAGTTGGTAGAGTGTGAAGATCTCTGTGGAAAGAAAAACCTTTATTAAAGGAGGTAAAAGGGAATACATATGCACCAGAATGTAATAGTGCTAATACGTATTTTGCACGGGTGCTAAGAGAGACGTAAGTTGCCCCATCTTCTAATAATGTGTTCATTTTTTCACTATAATCTACCTTGTCCATAATTACTATCGCATTTTTTGCCTTGTCTATTTCAAAAAGATGCAGTCTAGGATCTTTCCTAAATTCATGGTATAACTTAACAAATCTTTGAGGACAAATGTGTTGTAAAGCTCAGACCTCTACAACACAATTGTCATCAAAGATTTGTTAAGTTATACCATGAATTAAGGAAAGATCCTAGACTGCATCTTTTTGAAACAGACAAGGCAAAAAATGCGATAGTAATTATGGACAAGGTAGATTATAGTGGAAAAATGAGCATATTATTAGAAGACAAGGGCACTTACGTGCTCCTTAAGTATGGCCAGCCGGTCAGTGTTGCAGCAAGGAAGAGGCTGGATACACTAGGGATGTTATGTTTGAGATTAATTTGCAGTGTGAATATTATGCAATGAATAAGGAGCATACATTAGAAGATGATGTTGAGGTTATTTTTTTTTTATTATCACGCTGGCTGATTCCCACCAAGGCAGGGTGGCCCGAAAAAGAAAAACTTTCACCATCATTCACTCCATCACTGTCTTGCCAGAAGGGTGCTTTACACTACAGTTTTTAAACTGCAACATTAACACCCCTCCTTCAGAGTGCAGGCACTGTACTTCCCATCTCCAGGACTCAAGTCCGGCCTGCCGGTTTCCCTGAATCCCTTCATAAATGTTACTTTGCTCACACTCCAACAGCACGTCAAGTATTAAAAACCATTTGTCTCCATTCACTCCTATCAAACACGCTCACGCATGCCTGCTGGAAGTCCAAGCCCCTCGCACACAAAACCTCCTTTACCCCCTCCCTCCAACCTTTCCTAGGCCGACCCCTACCCCGCCTTCCTTCCACTACAGACTGATACACTCTTGAAGTAATTCTGTTTCGCTCCATTCTCTCTACATGTCCGAACCACCTCAACAACCCTTCCTCAGCCCTCTGGACAAACAGTTTTGGTAATCCCGCACCTCCTCCTAACTTCCAAACTACGAATTCTCTGCATTATATTCACACCACACATTGCCCTCACACATGTCATCTCCACTGCCTCCAGCCTTCTCCTCACTGCAACATTCATCACCCATGCTTCACACCCATATAAGAGCATTGGTAAAACTATACTCTCATACATTCCCCTCTTTGCCTCCAAGGACAAAGTTCTTTGTCTCCACAGACTCCTAAGTGCACCACTCACCCTTTTCCCCTCATCAATTCTATGATTCACCTCATCTTTCATAGACCCATCCGCTGACACGTCCACTCCCAAATATCTGAATACATTCACCTCCTCCATACTCTCTCCCTCCAATCTGATATCCAATCTTTCATCACCTAATCTTTTTGTTATCATCATAACCTTACTCTTTCCTGTATTCACTTTTAATTTTCTTCTTTTGCACACCCTCCCAAATTCATCCACCAATCTCTGCAACTTCTCTTCAGAATTCCCAAGAGCACAGTGTCATCAGCAAAGAGCAACTGTGACAACTCACACATTATGTGTGATTCTTTATCTTTTAACTCCACGCCTCTTGCCAAGACCCTCGCATTTACTTCTCTTACAACCCCATCTATAAATATATTAAACAACCACGGTTTGACATCACACATCCCTGTCTAAGGCCTACTTTTAGGGAAATAATTTCCCTCTTTCCTACATCTCTAACTTGAGGCTAAACTATCCTCGTAAAAACTCTTCACTGCTTTCAGTAACCTACCTCCTACACCATACACCTGCAAATCTGCCTCATTGACCCCTATCCACCCTGTCATATGCCTTTTCCAAATCCATAAATGCCACCAAAGACCTCTTTAGCCTTATCCAATTATGTTCACTTATATGTTTCACTGTAAACACCTGGTCCACATACCCCCTACCTTTCCTAAACCCTCCTTGTTCATCTGCTATCCTGTTCTCCTTTCTTACTCTTAATTCTTTCAATAATAACTCTACCATACACTTTACCAGGTATACTCAACAGACTTATCCCCTATAATTTTTGCACTCTCTTTGTCCCTTTGCCTTTATACAAAGGAATATGCATGCTCTCTGCCAATCCCTAGGTACCTTACCCTCTTCCATACATTTATTGAATAATTGCCCCAACCACTCCAAAACTATATCCCCACCTGCTTTTAACATTTCTATCTTTATCCCATCAATCCCGGCTGCCTTACCCCCTTTCATTTTACCTACTGCCTCACGAACTTCCCCCACACTCACAACTGGCTCTTCCTCACTCCTACAAGATGTTATTCCTCCTTGCCCTATACAAGAAATCACAGCTTCCCTATCTTCATCAACATTTAACAATTCCTCAAAATATTCCCTCATTCTTCCCAATACCTCTAACTCTCCATTTAATAACTCTCCTCTATTTTTTGGGTAGGCTCCAGGATGTACATGTTTATAGAGGGGCAACTGATATATCGGATCATTATTTAGTTGTAGCTACAGTTAGAGTAAGAGGTAGATGGGGAAAGAGGAAGATGGCAACAACAAGTAAGAGGGAGGTGAAAGTGTATAAACTAAGGGAGGAGGAAGTTCGGGCGAGATATAAGCGACTATTGGCAGAAAGGTGGGCTAGTGCAAAGATGAGTAGTGGGGGGGTTGAAGAGGGTTGGAATAGTTTTAAAATGCGTATTAGAATGTGGGGCAGAGTTTGTGGTTATAGGAGGGTGGGGGCAGGAGGAAAGAGGAGTGATTGGTGGAATGATGAAGTAAAGGGTGTGATAAAAGGGGAAGAAGGTAGCTTTGAGAGGTTTTTACAAAGCAGAAGTGTTATAAGAAGAGCAGAGTATATGGAGAATAAAAGAAAGGTAAAGAGAGTGGTGAGAGGGGTGCAAAAGGAGAGCAGATGATTTGAGGGGGGAGAGGGCCCGTCAAGAAATTTTAATGAAAATAAGAAAAATTTGGAGTGAGTTAAACAAGTTAAGAAAGGGCCCAGGGAAAGTATGGATTTGTCAGTTAAAAACAGAGTAGGGGAGTTAGTAGATGGGGAGAGGCAGGTATTTAAAGGGAGATGGCGGAATATTTTGAGAGGGAACTTTTAAATGTTTAGGAAGAAAGGGAGGCGGTAATTTCATGCCCCGGTCAGGGGGGGTATACCACTTTTAGGAGTGAAGAAAAGCAGAATGTAAGTGTGGTGGAGGTACATGAGGCATTACGTAGATGAAAGGGGGTAAAGCAGCTGGAACTGATGGGATCATGACATAAATGTTAAAAAGCAAGGGGGGTGATATAGTGTTGGAGTGGTTGGTACTTTTGTTTAATAAATGTATGAAAAGGGGAAGGTACTAGGGGTTGGCAGAGAGCATGTTTTAGTCCCTTTATATAAAGGGAAAGGGGGACAAAAGAGATTGTAAAAATTTTTAGAGGAATAAGTTTACTGAGTATACCAGGAAAAAATATACGGTAGGGTTATAATTGAAAGAATTAGAATTTTAGGATGGCGGTGAGCAGGGAGGCTTCAGAGTGGGTAGGGGATGTGTAGATCAAGTGTTTACATTTAAGCATATATGTGAACAGTATTTAGATAAGGTAGGGAAGTTTTTATTGCATTTATGGATTTAGAAAATTTCATGTGATAGAGTGGATTTGAGGAGCAATGTGGCGATGTTGCAAGTATATGGAATAGGTGGTAAGTTACTAAATGCTGTAAAGAGCTTTTATGAGGATAGTGAGGCTCAGGTTAGGGGGGTGTTGAGGGGAGGGGGGTTACTTCCCCGGTAAAAGTAGGTCTTAGACAGGGATGTGTAATGTCACCATGGTTGTTTAATATATTTATAGATGGGGTTGTTAAAAGAAGTAATGCTAGGGTGTTTGGGGAGAGGGGTGGGATTAAACTTTGGGGAATCAAATTCAAAAAAGGGAATTGACACAGTTACTTTTTGCATGTGATACTGTGCTTTTGGGAGATTCTAAAGAAAAATTGCAAAGGTTAGTGGATGAGTTTGAGAATGTGTGTAAAGGTAGAAGTTGAAAGTGAACATAGAAAAGAGTAAGGTGATGAGGGTATCAAATGATTTAGATAAAGAAAAATGGATATCAAATTGGGGAGGAGGAGTATGAAAGAAATGAATGTTTTCAGATATTGGGAGTTGACGTGTCAGCGGATGGATTTATGAAGGATGAGGTTAATCATAGAATTGATGAGGGAAAAAAAAGGTGAGTGGTGCGTTGAGGTATATGTGGAGTCAAAAAAAAGTTATCTATGGAGGCAAAAAAGGGAATGTATGAAAGTTAGTTGTACCAACACTCTTATATGGATGTGAAGCTTGGGTGGTAAATGCAGCAGTGAGGAGATGGTTCGAGGCAGTGGAGATGTCCTGTTTAAGGGCAATGTGTGGTGTAAATATTATGCAGAAAATTCGGGAGGTTGGTGGAAATTAGGAGAAGGTGTGGAGTTAATAAAAGCATTAGTCAGAGGGCAGAAGAGGGATTGTTGAGGTGGTTTGGTCATTTAGAGAGAATGGATCAAAATAGAATGACATGGAAAAACATATAAATCTATAGGGGAAGGAAGGAGGGGTAGGGGGGCGCCCTCGAAAGAATTGGAAAGAGGGGGTAAAGGAGGTTTTGTGGGCAAGGGGGGGGCTTCAGCAAGGTGCATGAGCATGTTAGATAGGAGGAATGGCGACGAATGATACTTGGGACTGACAATCTGTTGGAGTTGAGCGGGTTTAAATTTTGTGAAGGGGGGTTCAGGGGAAACGGTTATTTTCTATAGTTGGGCTTGAGTCTGGAAAAGGGGGAAATACAATGCCCGCCTTTAAAGGAGGGGTTTGGGTATTGGCAGTTTGGGGATTGTTGTGTATCTTTTACGTTATGCTTCAAATGTTGTATTCTGAGCACCTCGCAAAAAACGTGTTTTTGTGAGTTGTGGTGAAAGTTTGGTGATGATGAAAGTATTTTTTTTTTGGGGATTTTCTTTTTTTTTTGGCACCCTGCCTCGGGGGAGACGGCCCCACTTGTTGAAAAAAAAAAAAAAAAATCCATTTGTTCTTAGGCTTCCTTAAATTGTTAATCTCATCCAAAATTTTTCTTATTTTCAAAAAAATTTTTTGATAAATCTCCCCATTCTCTCATTTGCTCTTTTTTTTTACTTTTCTCACCCACTTTAAACCCCTTTTCTTTTTCCATATACTTTCCCTCCTTGCATCACTTCTACTTTGTAAAAACTTCTCATATGCTAACTTTTTCTCCCTTACTACTCTCTTTACATCATCATTCCACCAATCGCTCCTCTTCCCTCCCGCACCCACTTTCCTGTAACCACAAACTTCTGCTGAACACTCTAACACTACATTTTTAAACCTACCCCATACCTCTTCGACCTCATTGCCTATGCTCTCATTAGCCCATCTATCCTCCAATAGCTGTTTATATCTTACCCTAACTGCCTCCTCTTTTAGTTTATAAACCTTCACCTCTCTCTTCCCTGATGCTTCTATTCTCCTTGTATCCCATCTACCTTTTACTCTCAGTGTAGCTACAACTAGAAAGTGATCTGATATATCTGTGGCCCCTATATAAACATGTACATCCTGAAGTCTACTCAACAGTCTTTTATCTACCAATACATAATCCAACAAACTACTGTCATTTCGCCCTACATCATATCTTGTATACTTATTTATCCTCTTTTTCTTAAAATATGTATTACCTATAACTAAACCCCTTACCTCATAATTTGTAATATTTTAAAATAAAGAATTAAACTAAGTCTGCCCGAAATGCCTAGCCATGCTAGGCATTCTAGTGGTACACTCTGTAATCATTATTTAACTACATGTAAAGCACACAACAACCAAATTCTGTAAATTTAACATTGTAATCTTTATAGAGAATAAAACTTTGAATTGAATTGAATTGAATTGAATTCTATACAAAGTTCAATCAAAGGGCTCCCATTATCATTTACACCTGGCACCCCAAACTTACCTACCACACCCTCTCTAAAAGTTTCTCCTACTTTAGCATTCAGGTCCCCTACCACAATTACTCTCTCACTTGGTTCAAAGGCTCCTATACATTCACTTAACATCTCCCAAAATCTCTCTCTCTCTCCTCTACATTCCTCTCTTCTCCAGGTGCATACACGCTTATTATGACACACTTTTCACATCCAACCTTTACTTTAATCCACATAATTCTTGAATTTAACACATTCATATTCTCTTTTCTCCTTCCATAACTGATCCTTCAACATTACTGCTACCCTTCCTTTGCTCTAACTCTCTCAGATACTCCAGATTTTAATCCCATTTATTTCCCCCCACCGAAACTCCCCTACCCCCTTCAGCTTTGTTTCGCTTAGGGCCAGGACATCCAACTTCTTTTCATTCATAACATCAGCAATCATCTGTTTCTTGTCATCCGCACTACATCCACGCACATTCAAGCATCCCAGTTTTATAAAGTTTTTCTTCTCTTTTTTAGTAAATGTCTACAGGAGAAGGGGTTACTAGCCCATTGCTCCCGGCATTTTAGTTGCCTCATACGACACGCATGGCTTATGGAGGAAAGATTCTTTTCCACTTCCCCATGGACAATAGAAGAAATAAAGAAGAACAAGAGCTATTTAGAAAAAGGAGAAAAACCTAGATGTATGTATATATATATGCATGTGCGTGTCTGTGAAGTGTGACCAAAGTGTAAGTAGGAGTAGCAAGATATCCCTGTTATCTAGCGTGTTTATGAGACAGAAAAAGAAACCAGCAATCTTACCATCATGGTGTTGAGGTATGTAAGGTATAATTTGAAGAGCAGGATGTTGAGATGAAGGATACTTTGATCACGAAGGTGTATAAATCCATGATGGATGGAAATAGGGGGGTAGGAAACATCATGATACTGGCTCCATGGTAAAGTACTGTGGGCTCTGATACAGAGTTTGCAGGTTCAAGTCCTGCTGTGGATGTAGAGACAATGTTTGTTTATGATATGTACAATAGTACATACATTGTAGCTCATTCATTTCACTCAGAAGTAGGATATACAGTGGACCCCCGGTTAACGAACTTTTTTCATTCCAGTAGTATGTTCAGGTGTCAGTACTGACCGAATTTTTTCCCATAAGGAATATTGTGAAGTAGATTAGTCCATTTCAGACCCCCAAACATACACGTACAAACGCACTTACATAAATACACTTACATAATTGGTCGCATTTGGAGGTGATCGTTAAGCGGGGGTCCACTGTATTGAACATTTGCTCGATCTTGGTCCCAAGGTTGTCGTATTTTATGGTTTGTGCTTTTTTAAAAAGACAAAATTCTTTTAACACAATGAACATCTCTCACTGAGGCAGGGTGACCTAAAAAAATGGAATGAGAGTTTTTCTTCTTTTTACATTTACATTATGTAGTAATTTATACAGGAGAAGGGGTTACTAGCACCTTGCTCCCGGCATTTTAATTGCCTCTTACGACAGGCATGGCTTACAGAGGAAGAACTCTTCTATACCTCCCCATGGAGATTATAAACAAATATACAGTTAAAGCATATAAAGGAAACAGCAGTACAGTGGGGATGGTATACGGGGATGTAATCAGTGCATCAGTAAAGTTTCTCTCTTTTATTAGAGAAACTTTATTTCCTCTATTATCATTTGACTGTTTCTTGTTTGCTTCACACGTACATACTCAGGCGCTTTTTTAACATGCTATTGATATTTAGGCTTCTTATTTTTAACTTAATTATTAAATTAAATCTTATACATATGCAGTAATTTTTACTTTTATTCTATTTTTTGCATGCATTCTCATTTATATCATTTAGAATAACAAATTGGTATATTACTTATCTTACAAACAAAGCATTATATTCCTCATCAGTTATATCAGCTTTTTTCTAGTGGTTTGAGCTTGCTTAAAATATTACTAATATACTAGTTTGTTTTAACAGGGTAAGAATACTTAGTAGTTACATAATGATCATGAATTCTTTTCCATGATGCATCTCTGACTTCTTTGTCTAAATGTCTTATTTTGCCATGAAAGTGTTACCAGTCTTGAACCTAACTTCCAGTGCTGTGTCTCACTGCAGGGCATTACTGGAGCGCTTGTCTTGCTTGGAGATACCGGCCACCTTCAGGTTTCATATCTGGGGACTGATCCATCGTTTTTCGTGGCTCCTCCGGCAGAAACGCGTGAGATAAACTACGACCAGACAGATAAGGAACTATCTCAGCTACATAAAATTATTAAGGCTTCAACAAAAGACACAGGTATGTACCAGTGTGTTATTCTTGTTAATAATGATTATTAATATTATAAATATTAATATAAATGTTAATAATTATTATTAATATTATAAATATTTTTGTTAATAATGATTATTAATGTTTTAGTTAGAGTTAGCATGAGCTAGGGATGTCTTTCCATTGATTCTTCATTTATATGACAACATTGACACTGAATCATTGATGGTTCATCTTACTGACAACATCTATGCTACATCATTGATGGTTCATCTTACTGACAACATCTATGCTACATCATTGATGGTTCATCTTAGTGACAACATCTGCGCTACATCAGTGATGGTTCATCTTACTGACAACATCATTGATGGTTCATCTTAGTGATAACATCATTGATGGTTCATCTTAGTGACAACATCATTGATGGTTCATCTTAGTGACAACATCATTGATGGTTCATCTTAGTGATAACATCATTGATGGTTCATCTTAGTGACAACATCATTGATGGTTCATCTTAGTGACAACATCAGTGATGGTTCATCTTAGTGACAACATCAGTGATGGTTCATCTTAGTGATAACATCATTGATGGTTCATCTTAGTGACAACATCATTGATGGTTCATCTTAGTGATAACATCATTGATGGTTCATCTTAGTGACAACATCAGTGATGGTTCATCTTAGTGACAACATCAGTGATGGTTCATCTTAGTGATAACATCATTGATGGTTCATCTTAGTGATAACATCATTGATGGTTCATCTTAGTGACAACATCAGTGATGGTTCATCTTAGTGATAACATCATTGATGGTTCATCTTAGTGACAACATCATTGATGGTTCATCTTAGTGACAACATCATTGATGGTTCATCTTAGTGACAACATCTGCACTACATCAGTGATGGTTCATCTTAGTGACAACATCAGTGATGGTTCATCTTAGTGACAACATCATTGATGGTTCATCTTAGTGACAACATCTACAGTACATCATTGATGGTACATCTTAGTGACAACATCTGCGCTACATCAGTGATGGTTCATCTTAGTGACAACATCATTGATGGTTCATCTTAGTGACAACATCATTGATGGTTCATCTTAGTGACAACATCTGCACTACATCAGTGATGGTTCATCTTAGTGACAACATCAGTGATGGTTCATCTTAGTGACAACATCATTGATGGTTCATCTTAGTGACAACATCTACAGTACATCATTGATGGTACATCTTAGTGACAACATCTGCGCTACATCAGTGATGGTTCATCTTAGTGACAACATCATTGATGGTTCATCTTAGTGACAACATCTGCGCTACATCAGTGATGGTTCATCTTAGTGACAACATCATTGATGGTTCATCTTAGTGACAACATCAGTGATGGTTCATCATAGTGACAACATCTACAGTACATCATTGATGGTACATCTTAGTGACAACATCTGCGCTACATCAGTGATGGTTCATCTTAGTGACAACATCATTGATGGTTCATCTTAGTGACAACATCATTGATGGTTCATCTTAGTAACAACATCTGTGCTACATCAGTGATAGTTCATCTTAGTGACAACATCATTGATGGTTCATCTTAGTGACAACATCATTGATGGTTCATCTTAGTGACAACATCATTGATGGTTCATCTTAGTGACAACATCAGTGATGGTTCATCTTAGTGACAACATCATTGATGGTTCATCTTAGTGACAACATCATTGATGGTTCATCTTAGTGACAACATCATTGATGGTTCATCTTAGTGACAACATCATTGATGGTTCATCTTAGTGACAACATCATTGATGGTTCATCTTAGTGACAACATCAGTGATGGTTCATCTTAGTAACAACATCATTGATGGTTCATCTTAGTGACAACATCATTGATGGTTCATCTTAGTGACAACATCATTGATGGTTCATCTTAGTGACAACATCATTGATGGTTCATCTTAGTGACAACATCATTGATGGTTCATCTTAGTGACAACATCAGTGATGGTTCATCTTAGTGACAACATCATTGATGGTTCATCTTAGTGACAACATCAGTGATGGTTCATCTTAGTAACAACATCATTGATGGTTCATCTTAGTGACAACATCAGTGATGGTTCATCTTAGTAACAACATCAGTGATGGTTCATCTTAGTGACAACATCATTGATGGTTCATCTTAGTGACAACATCATTGATGGTTCATCTTAGTGACAACATCATTGATGGTTCATCTTAGTGACAACATCATTGATGGTTCATCTTAGTGACAACATCATTGATGGTTCATCTTAGTGACAACATCAGTGATGGTTCATCTTAGTAACAACATCATTGATGGTTCATCTTAGTGACAACATCATTGATGGTTCATCTTAGTGACAACATCATTGATGGTTCATCTTAGTGACAACATCATTGATGGTTCATCTTAGTGACAACATCATTGATGGTTCATCTTAGTGACAACATCATTGATGGTTCATCTTAGTGACAACATCATTGATGGTTCATCTTAGTGACAACATCATTGATGGTTCATCTTAGTAACAACATCATTGATGGTTCATCTTAGTGACAACATCATTGATGGTTCATCTTAGTAAACAACATCTGTGCTACATCAGTGATAGTTCATCTTAGTGACAACATCATTGATGGTTCATCTTAGTGACAACATCATTGATGGTTCATCTTAGTGACAACATCATTGATGGTTCATCTTAGTAACAACATCTGTGCTACATCAGTGATAGTTCATCTTAGTGACAACATCATTGATGGTTCATCTTAGTGACAACATCATTGATGGTTCATCTTAGTGACAACATCATTGATGGTTCATCTTAGTAACAACATCTGTGCTACATCAGTGATAGTTCATCTTAGTGACAACATCATTGATGGTTCATCTTAGTGACAACATCATTGATGGTTCATCTTAGTGACAACATCATTGATGGTTCATCTTAGTAACAACATCTGTGCTACATCAGTGATAGTTCATCTTAGTGACAACATCATTGATGGTTCATCTTAGTGACAACATCATTGATGGTTCATCTTAGTGACAACATCATTGATGGTTCATCTTAGTAACAACATCTGTGCTACATCAGTGATAGTTCATCTTAGTGACAACATCATTGATGGTTCATCTTAGTGACAACATCATTGATGGTTCATCTTAGTGACAACATCATTGATGGTTCATCTTAGTAACAACATCTGTGCTACATCAGTGATAGTTCATCTTAGTGACAACATCATTGATGGTTCATCTTAGTAACAACATCAGTGATGGTTCATCTTAGTGACAACATCATTGATGGTTCATCTTAGTGACAACATCAGTGATAGTTCATCTTAGTGACAACATCATTGATGGTTCATCTTAGTAACAACATCAGTGATGGTTCATCTTAGTGACAACATCATTGATGGTTCATCTTAGTAACAACATCAGTGATGGTTCATCTTAGTGACAACATCATTGATGGTTCATCTTAGTAACAACATCAGTGATGGTTCATCTTAGTAACAACATCATTGATGGTTCATCTTAGTAACAACATCAGTGATAGTTCATCTTAGTGACAACATCATTGATGGTTCATCTTAGTAACAACATCAGTGATGGTTCATCTTAGTAACAACATCAGTGATGGTTCATCTTAGTGACAACATCATTGATGGTTCATCTTAGTAACAACATCTGTGCTACATCAGTGATAGTTCATCTTAGTGACAACATCATTGATGGTTCATCTTAGTGACAACATCAGTGATGGTTCATCTTAGTAACAACATCTACACTGCATCACTGTTATATAGTCTACTGCATATTTTTAAACTGAATATTGCACTTTTTTAATTTGTACTACTTTCATATTCTTTCATTTTTGTTGTTTTCTAATTCCTTCTTAGTACTGAGCATAAATTCAGTGTTGGCATTTAACCGAGTTGGTTAGTTAGTGCAACTTGCATGTACATGCCATCTTTTTTTTTCTCTCATGCATGCTTATTTTCATATTGCTTTGTCTTTTTGGATTTCTTTATTAATGTTGAAAATGAAAATGTTTATTTCCTTGCAAAACTTACAATGTGTGGTTTACATATTATAAAATATTGATTACAAAGAAAGCCACTAGCATGCCTAGGCATTTTGGGCAGACTAATCCTAATTCTTACTCTATATTGACACAGGTTATGGAGCAGTACAAGGACACAGATGCAAGTAATGGGACATTTTATTGTGGTAATGTTTTGCTCTCCAGGAGCTTTGTCAAGCCCTGGAGAGCAAAACATTGCCATGATAACATGTCACATTAGTTGCATCTATATCCATTTACCCAACATTTGGTTGGTAATTCTACCATAGTGTACAATGTCTTGCACTTTCAGGGGCATTGGTAAGCATGAATCGAGGTGAGAGCGACCTCCTGGTATCTGCGACAGTGGGAACACAGCTGGAAACATGGACAGGGAACACCCGTGTCCAGAATCCTGATGGCGGGGTTCCTGCCGTGCCTGTGGTAGTGCGGCTCACAGCTCACACACCACTCAACAATGTCAGAGTCAACATTGCTGTGGAGAAACCTCTCGGTGTTACTCAAGACACGTTTGTTCTGCGTACAATATGTGTGTATCCGTCTCCAATGGTGGATAAGTCACATGCTCATAACTTGAATTTATTTATTGCTGAAGCATTTTACCTGCACAACAAGCTTCTAGTAAATACATGCAGATATAATAATATAATATAAATATAATAACTTTAATGTTCAATGTAATGGGGAGCCCATCACTTTGGTTTCATCAGTAAAATATTTGGGAATTCCCTTTGACCCATGCATGTCAGGAGAATTGATAGGGAACAGTGTAGTAAAGAAAGCGAATGCCAGACTGAAGTTCCTGTATAGACAAGCACAGTGTCTACCTACTGAGGCTCGCAGGACCCTGTGTCTAGCCCTTATACAATGCCATATGGATTACGCTTGCTCTTCATGGTACTCTGCCTTGACAAAAAAACTGAAAGATAGACTGCAAATCACCCAGAACAAAATCGTAAGATTCATCCTGGGGCTGGGACCAAGAGAGCATGTAGGCCAGGATGAATTACAGCAGTTGGATATACTGAATGTTGAAGACGGAGTAAAACAACTGAAGCTAAATCATGTTTATAAAATTGCTCACAAACAATGTCCAGAATATCTTGCTGTCAATTTTGTCAAGGGTGGGAACCAAAGCAATCATAGTACTAGAGGGAGAGAGCACAACTTTGTAGTACCCACAGTCAGTGGCCAGGCTTCAAACACCTTTTATTGTACAGCAATAAAGGAATGGAACAGACTGCCTGCACATATCAAAGCCAGTCTTAGCATGAACCAGTTCAAGAAGAGTGCCAAAAGGTGTCTGATGAATGTAGCTACAGAAAGGGAGGGGAATGATTTTCTATTTTTTATCTAACATACGTGTAAATTTTACCTTATTCCTAGTAATGACCCTCGTATTGTAGATAGTCTTAATGACCCTCGTGTAGTAGATAGTCTTTTTAGTATGATAATAAGATGTTAACTTCATTATAGAATAATAAGAAAATATTATAACCTTTATATTATAATAATAAGGTAAAAGGACCCCAATGGAAATAAGTCACTCTGTCTGACTTTTTTGGGTTATCCCAGGTTCTCTACACATATGCTGCTATGTATGATAATTCTATGTAACTGTATTTGTGTATACCTGAATAAACTTACTTACTTTAAAAAAAAAAAAAAAAAAAAAAAGTAAGTAAGTTTATTCAGGTATACACAAATACAGTTACAGTTACTTACTTACTTACTAATAATAAAGATAGGTAGTAGAATGGTAGACAGCATCCGCCCAGGGAGGTACTACCGTCCTACTAGATGAGTGTAACACAGATGCTTGTAATTATTTTACATGATGGTAGGATTGCTGGTGTCTTTTTTTCTGTCTCGTAAACTTGCAAGATTTTAGGTACGTCTTGCTACTTACACTTAGGTCACACTACACATGCATGTTTTTTTTTTTTTTTTTTTTTTTTTTTTTCCCAAGAAGTCGGTCGTCTCCCACCGAGGCAGGGTGACCCAAAAAAGAAAGAAAATCCCCCAAAAGAAAATACATTCATCATCATTCAACACTTTCACCACACTCACACATTATCACTGCTTTTGCAGAGGTGCTCAGAATACAACAGTTTAGAAGCATATACGTATAAAGATACACAACATATCCCTCCAAACTGCCAATATCCCAAACCCCTCCTTTAAAGTGCAGGCATTGTACTTCCCATTTCCAGGACTCAAGTCCGACTATATGAAAATAACCGGTTTCCCTGAATCCCTTCACTAAATATTACCCTGCTCACACTCCAACAGATCATCAGGTCCCAAGTATCATTCGTCTCCATTCACTCCTATCTAACATGCTCATGCACGCTTGCTGGAAATCCAAGCCCCTAGCCCACAAAACCTCCTTTACCCCCTCTTTCCAACCCTTTCGAGGACGACCCCTACCCCTCCTTCCTTCCCCTATAGATTTATATACTTTCCATGTCATTCTACTTTGATCCATTCTCTCTAAATGACCAAACCACCTCAACAACCCCTCTTCTGCCCTCTGACTAATGCTTTTATTAACTCCACACCTTCTCCTAATTTCCACACTCCGAATTTTCTGCATAATATTTACACCACACATTGCCCTTAGACAGGACATCTCCACTGCCTCCAACCGTCTCCTCGCTGCTGCATTTACCACCCAAGCTTCACATCCATATAAGAGTGTTGGTACTACTATACTTTCATACATTCCCTTCTTTGCCTCCATAGATAACGTTTTTTGACTCCACATATACCTCAACGCACCACTCACCTTTTTTCCCTCATCAATTCTATGATTAACCTCATCCTTCATAAATCCATCTGCTGACATGTCAACTCCCAAGTATCTGAAAACATTCACTTCTTCCATACTCCTCCTCCCCAATTTGATATCCAATTTTTCTTTATCTAAATCATTTGATACCCTCATCACCTTACTCTTTTCTATGTTCACTTTCAACTTTCTACCTTTACACACATTCTCAAACTCATCCACTAGCCTTTGTAATTTTTCTTTAGAATCTCCCATAAGCACAGTATCATCAGCAAAAAGTAACTGTGTCAATTCCTCATAATTTAATCCCACCCCTCTCTTGGACACCCTAGCATTTACTTCTTTTACAACCCCATCTATAAATATATTAAACAACCATGGTGACATTACACATCCCTGTCTAAGACCTACTTTTACCGGGAAGTATTCTCCCTCTCTTCTACACACCCTAACCTGAGCCTCACTATCCTCATAAAAGCTCTTTACAGCATTTAGTAACTTACCACCTATTCCATATACTTGCAACATCTGCCACATTGCTCCTCTATCCACTCTATCATATGCATTTTCTAAATCCATAAATGCAATAAAAACTTCCCTACCTTTATCTAAATACTGTTCACATATATGCTTCAATGTAAACACTTGATCTACACATCCCCTACCGACTCTGAAGCTTCCCTGCTCATCCGCAATCCTACATTCTGTCTTACCTCTAATTCTTTCAGTTATAACCCTACCGTATACTTTTCCTGGTATACTCAGTAAACTTATTCCTCTATAATTTTTACATTCTCTTTTGTCCCCTTTCCCTTTATATAAAGGGACTATACATGCTCTCCGCCAATCCCTAGGTACCTTCCCCTCTTTCATACATTTATTAAATAAAAGTACCAACCACTCCAACACTATATCCCCCCCTGCATGCATGTACAAGCATATATATACACACCCCTCTGGGTTTTCTTCTATTTTCTTACTAGTTCTTGTTCTTGTTTGTTTCCTCTTATCTCCATAGGAAAGTGGAAAAGAATTCTTCCTCTGTAAGCCATGAATGTTATAAGAGGTGACTAAAATGCCAGGAGCAAGTGGCTAGTAACCCTTCTGTATACGTTACTAAATTTAAAAAGAGAAACTTTCGTTTTTCTTATTGGGCCACCCTGCTTCAGTGGGATACAGCCAGTTTGTTGAAAAATAATAATAAAAATAATAATAATAGAGACTAGTAGTAGTAGTGGTGGTGGTAGTATTAGTAGTAGTAGTGGTAATAGTAGTGGTAATAGTAGTAGTGGTGGTGGTGGTAATAGTAGTAGTTGTAGACTTGAGGTGATCAGTCCCTCAGTCTTGCTATGTGGTTTTTTTTATTTGTAACACATCGGCCATTTCCCTCCGAGGCAGGGTGACTGAGAAAGAAAGAAAAACCCCAAAAGAAAAACCTTTCATCATTCAACACTTCCACCATCACTCAAACATAATCACTGTGTTTGCAGAGGTGCTCAGATACGACAGCTTAGACGTCCCTCCAAACTGCCAATATCCCAAACCCCTGGCTAACCAGTTGCCCTGAATCCCTGTACAAAATATTACCCCTGCTCACACTCCAACAGCTCGTCAGGTTCCAAAAACCATTTGTCTCCATTCACTCCTATCTAACACGCTCACACACGCTTGCTGGAAGTTCAAGCCCCTTGCCCACAAAACCTCTTTTACCCCCTTCTTCCAACCTTTTTGGGGATGACCCCTACCCCCGCCTTCCTTTCCCTACAGATTTATGTGCTCTCCAAGTCGTTCTACTTTGTTCCATTCTCTCTAAATGACAAAACCACCTCAACAGCCCCTCTTCAACCCTCTGACTATTACTTTTAGTAACTCCACGCCACCTCCTAATTTCCACACTACAAATTCTCTGCATAATATTTACACCACACATTGCCCTTAGACACGGCATCTCCACTGCCTCCAGCCGCCTCGTCGCTGCAGCATATACAGCCCATGCTTTACATCCATATAAGAGTAGTGGTACCACTATACTCTTGTACATTCCCTTCTTTTCCTCCATGGATGATGTTTTTTGTCTCCACAGATACCTCAATGCACCTCTCACCTTTATTTCTTCATCAGTTTTATGGTTAACCTCATCCTTCGTAACCCATCTGCTGACAAGTCAACTCCCAAATACAGTGGACCCTCGGTATATGATATTAATCCGTTCCTGAGAGCTCATCATATGCCAAAATTATCGGAAGGCGAATTAATTTTCCCCATAAGAAATAATGGAAATCAAATTAATCCGTTCAAAACACCCAAAAGTATGAAAAAAAAAAATTTACCACATGAAATATTAAGTTTAATGCACACAAACTGAAGAAGACATGCACAGTTTGTAGTACTCTACTAACAATAGAATACATAACACTTACCTTTAATGAAGATCTGGTGATGATTGATGGGATGGGAGGAGGGGAGAGTGTCGAACTTATTGTTTAGAAGGGGAATCCCCTTCCATTAGGACTTGAGGTAGCAAGTCCTTTTCCGGGGTTACTTCCCTTCTTCTTTTAATGCCACTAGGACCAGCTTGAGAGTCAGTGGACTTCTGTCGCATAACATATCTGTACATAGAGGCCTGTACCTCTCGTTCCTTTATGACTTTTCTAAAGTGGTTCACAACATTGTCATTGTAATAGTCACCAGCACGGCTTGCAATAACTGTGTGAGGGGATTGTCATCCATAAAGGTTTTCACCTTTGTCCACATTGTACACATTTCTTTAATATGTGAAGTAGGCAACTTCCTCAATTTCTCTATCCCCTCCTCTGAATCAGTTTCCTCGGATCTGGCCTCTTGCTGTTGAAGATGATCTAGCAGCTCATCAGTGGTTAGTTCGTCATTGTCCTCCTCCACCAACTCTTCCACATCCTCCTCACTAACCTCCAACTCCAAGGACTTCCCCAATGCCACAATGGCTTCCTCAACTGACATAGGATTCCCAGGGTTAGCCTCAAACCCTTCAAAATCCCTTTTGTCTACACATTCTGGCCACAGTTTCTTCCAAGCAGAGTTCAAGGTCCTCTTAGTCACTCCCTCCCAAGCCTTACCTATAAGGTTTATACAATTGAGGATATTAAAGTGATCCTTCCAAAACACTTTTAGAGTCAGTTGAGTTTCTGTGGTCACTTCAAAGCACTTTTGAAACATAGCTTTTGTGTACAGTTTCTTGAAGTTGGAAATGACCTGCTGGTCCATGGGCTGCAGGAGAGGAGTGGTATTAGGAGGCAAAAACTTGACCTTAATGAAGCTCATGTCCCCAGAAAGTCGCTCTGCCAAGTCTGTAGGATGACCAGGGGCATTGTCTAATACCAGGAGGTACTTAAGGTCTAATTTCTTTTCAATTAGGTAATTTTTCACACTGGGGGCAAATGCATGGTGTAACAAGTCATAGAAAAAGTCCCTAGTGACCCATGCCTTACTGTTTGCCCTCCACAGCACACACAAATTAGCCTTGAGGACATTCTTTTGCCTGAATGCTCTGGGAGTTTCTGAGTGATACATCAATAAAGGCTTCACTTTGCAATCACCACTAGCATTGGCACACATCAGAAGAGTAAGCCTGTCTTTCATAGGCTTATGTCCTGGGAGTGCCTTTTCCTCCTGAGTAATGTAGGTCCTGCTTAGGCAATTTCTTCCAAAAACAGGCCTGTTTTGTCGCAATTAAACACTTGTTCAGGTTTAAATTCTTCACTGTGTGTGTAATCCTTGAATTCCTTCACATATTTTTCAGCTGCTTTTTGGTCTGAACTGGCAGCCTCACCATGCCTAATCACACTATGTATGCCACTACGATTCTTAAATCTTTCAAACCAACCTTTGCTGGCATTAAATTCACTCACATTACCACTAGTTGCAGGCATTTTTTCAATTAAATCCTCATGCAACTTCCTAGCCTTTTCACAAATGATTGCTTGAGAGATGCTATCTGATTTTCATTTATCCACACCAATAACAGTCTCTCAACATCTAACACTTGCGATCTCTGTTTCGAAAACAAAGTTGCACCTTTTGCAACAACAGCTTCCTTGATTGCCGTTTTCCTGGCCACTATAGTAGCGATGGTTGATTGGGGTTTTGTATACAACCTGGCCAGCTCCGACACACGCACTCCACTTTCGTACTTTGCAATTATCTCTTTCTTCATTTCAATAGTCATTAGCACCCTTTTTCTCGAAGGGTTGGCACTAGAAGCTTTCTTGGGGCCCATGGTGACTTATTTTGCAGAAACAAGCACCAAAAACACTGTGATAATATGGAATGTATGCTTAGATGTGAGCACACTGGCTGGCTTGTAAACACTGGCACGCACGGAGCAGATCAGGCCACACGTGGACACGTCCCAGACGAATCATGTGTGGCGGGTTTTTTAATGAGTGGCGAGACAAAATTTTTGCGTTAAAATGTATCGAATACCGGATTTAATGTATACCGATGCCATTGTATCTGAAAACATACACTTCTTAAATATTCCCTCCCTCCAATGTGATATCCAATTTTTCTTTACCTAAACCTTTTGATACTCTCATCAGCTTACTCTTATCCATGTTCACTTTCAACTTTCTACCTTTACACACCCTCCCAAACTTGTCCAATAACTTTTGCAACTTTTCTTTTCACCTTTTGTTATTTTCGACTGAAAAAGTCTGTTGTGCGGGTGAAATCTTTAGGCAGTAAAATACCCAAATGTTGCACATGTGTCTTATCAGTTTGTTGATATTGTGTACCATCAGTTTTATGATCTAAGTATCTTGCTCTGGTATAGACATTCTTATGCATATGCAAGAATTTTATCTGAAACTTTTAATTATTATTATAATAATTAATGTTATGGTTTTGGTTATATTTTGATACTTATCTGTGAAAAGTTGTCATTATAGTTTAGTGATAATAGCACCTTTTTTTTCCAAAATTATTGTGCAACAGGTGACTCAAGCCAAATCATGGTGAAGTTCTACTTTGAGGAGCCTTATATACCTACCAGCCTCTCTGTGAGCCTCATCACCTCTTATGTAACACATACGGGTATGCCACAAATTATCACAGTGAATGTAAGTGTATTTTAATATTTCATAATACTCTCAGTTTACTTGTAAATGCAAATGACTTTCTTCAGATAATTGAATTCATCTTTTTTGAAAATTTTTTGTAATTATGGTACATACAACTTTGTTTTTAAATGCAAGTTCATGTTGGAATCTGTCTTTGTAAGAAAGACTTGTAATACAAGGGCCTGATTAAAGTCATTCTTGTTTGAAGAATGAAACACTTATGCAATATTTGGGAACCTTTATTTAGGAAACATTTTTGCTAGCCAGTGGCTTCTTCAGACCAATACAGAGAAGAACACTTAAAAAAAATATGAGTGTGAGGTAATCAGTCCCTCAGCCTGAAGTCAACTCAATGCTGAGGAACTGATTACCTCAAACTTCTCCTCACCTTTACTGTTATACTCTGGCTGGCCAAATGTTTCCTCAATAAAGATACCCAAATGTTGCACATGTCTCATTCTTCAACTTGTGAGTTTTCAAAACCATTTACATCACATTCATTTGTGTTTACATATTTTCCAATACATTTATTTCCATTCTGCAATATGAAGACTAGAACTGTGCTGCAAATCCAAATGAAGCTTTGCTAACTACAGATAGGAATATAGTGTAACCTCAGAGCTCCTCTTTATACTTTTTGACATGTGACAAGTATCCTGCTAGTAGGTTTATTGCAAACACTTTACCTTGGCTTCAGATGTCTATTACCTAAAGCTCCCACAGTATGATTATTTCTGTATTATTAATACAGTGAAACATATAAGTTAACAGTATTTAGATAAGGCTAAAGAGGTTTTTGTGGCATTTATGGATTTGGAAAAGGAGTTTTTACGAGGATAGTGAGGCTCAAGTTAAAGTATGTAGGAAAGAGGGAGATTATTTCCCAGTAAAAGTAGGCCTTAGACAAGGATGTGTGATGTCACCGTGGTTGTTTAATATATTTATAGATGGGGTTGTAAGAGAAGTAAATGCGAGGGTCTTGGCAAGAGGCGTGGAGTTAAAAGATAAAGAATCACACATAAAGTGTGAGTTGTCACAGTTGCTCTTTGCTGATGACACTGTACTCTTGGGAGATTCTGAAGAGAAGTTGCAGAGGTTGGTGGATGAATTTGGTAGGGTATGTAAAAGAAGAAAATTAAAAGTGAATACAGGAAAGAGTAAGGTTATGAGGATAACAAAAAGATTAGGTGATGAAAGATTGCATATCAGATTGGAGGGAGAGAGTATGGAGGAGGTGAATGTATTCAGATATTTGGGAGTGGACGTGTGAGGTGAATCATAGAATTGATGAGGGGAAAAGGGTGAGCGGTGCACTTAGAAGTCTGTGGAGACAAAGAACTTTGTCCTTGGAGGCAAAGAGGGGAATGTATGAGAGTATAGTTTTACCAACGCTCTTATATGGTTGTGAAGCATGGGTGATGAATGTTGCAGCGAGGAGAAGGTTGGAGGCAGTGGAGATGTCATGTCTGAGGGCAATGCATGGCATGAATATAATGCAGAGAATTCGTAGTTTGGAAGTTAGGAGGAGGTGCGGGATTGCCAAAACTTGTCCAGAGGGCTGAGGAAGGGTTGTTGAGGTGGTTTGGACATGTTGAGAGAATGGAGCAAAACAGAATGACTTCAAGAGTGTATCAGTCTGTAGTGGAAGGAAGGCGGGGTAGGGGTCGGCCTAGGAAAACTTGGAGGGAGAGGGTAAAGGAGGTTTTGTGTGCGAGGGGCTTGGACTTCCAGCGGGCATGCATGAGCGTGTTTGATAGGAGTGAATGGAGACAAATGGTTTTTAATACTTGACGTGCTGTTGGAGTGTGAGCAAAGTAACATTTATGAAGGGATTCAGGGAAACCGGCAGGCCGGACTTGAGTCCTGGAGATGGGAAGTACAGTGCCTGCACTCTAAAGGAGGGGTGTTAATGTTGCAGTTTAAAAACTGTAGTGTAAAGCACCCTTCTGGCAAGACAGTGATGGAGTGAATGATGGTGAAAGTTTTTCTTTTTCGGGCCACCCTGCCTTGGTGGGAATCGGCCAGTGTGCTAATAAAAAAAAAAGTATTAATAAGCATTGTGGTCATTTACCTCCCACAGGAATAAAATCTTACATTCATTCAGGATAAAATTAAAATTATTTTTTTTATTTTTCATGAGCAATACAAGAATTACAGTAGATATGCATAATTTGATACAAAATTTGGTTCAATAATAAGCACAAAAGAAAGCCACTATGTATGTAATGTATTTCAGTCAGTCTAATCATAATGCTTTCATACTTCTTAAATCTAGAACATCACTAATATAAGATACATTACAATAATGGAAGATATCACTGTAAAATGCATGATTGTGTATACTACACATAAAAATGTCAGTGAAAAACTGGGAAAAACCTGAGCGCTTTCATGCTCTTACATACACATCTTCATGATATAAAAGCGCTCGGGTTTTTTTTTTTTTTCCTTTTTTCACTGTGGTAAAATTTTTTACATTACTTTATTTGGATACGTGGAGAAAATAACTTGTGACTGCAGTGAGATTCATATTAAGGATTTTTTGAGGGGGTATTGATGAGTAGATGGTTAATTACTTGGAAGAAAAGAGTGAAGGAGTGTAAGGGGAATGTGAGAGATCAGAAAGGTTTGCTTAAAACAGTGGACCCCCTGTTAACGATATTTTTTCATTCCAGAAGTATGTTCGGGTGCCAGTATGACCAAATTTTTGTTCCCATAAGGAATATTGTGAAGTAGATTATCCATTTCAGCCCCCCAAACATACACGTACAAACGCACTACATAAATACACTTACATAATTGGTCGCTTTGGGGAGGTGATCATTAAGCGGGGGTCCACTGTATATAGCTGCATAGAAAGTTTGCTGTCATGGTCACACTTAGAAGAATGTTCCATGTGAAAGGAGGCTTTAGGAATATAGATAGGTATTACTGTACATGATATACAATAAATGCAGTAAGATTGCTAAAGCTTTTTGCTTCACACAGCGAGGGTCCAGGTTCGATTCCTAGTGAAGGGGTAGAAACACTGGACGTGTTTCCTCACACTATTTTCCTAGGTTCCCAATCAGTAAAATGGGTAAATGGTGTTAGTCGACTGGTGTGAGTTGCATCCGGGGACAAAACTGACATAATTTCCCAAAAGCCCCGGCATAACAAGCAGCTTTCTATATAGTATATGTAAATTGATGTCAGCTAGGCCTGTATACCTTGTACATGTTCTTGTACTGTAGTAAATAAAGATATTAATATTTTTAAAAAATAGCCACTGAAAAAAAAATAGTGAATTTCCAAGCATTTTTGGGTGGATTTTTAAACTATTTTTTTTCACAGTGTTTTAGTTTGCATATGCATGATGTATATTCAGTATCTTAACTATGTAATGTATTGTAATTTTATACAAAATTTCTTTTAATAATTAGTCTTTTATCTTTTATCTGTGTAAGAAGCTGTGTACATGGGGGTTCTCTAATACAAAACCTGCTGTTTAACCCCATATTTTAAATATATAACATCTCTAAATGTTGTATTTTTATCATCACAAAATGTCAGAAATACATTATTCTTCTTCAGTATTAGACACAATAAAATTTATGCCAGTTATCCCATAGCTGGAGCTTCCATTGCAACTTTGGTAAAGCCAGCATGCCAAACCCAAAGGGGGGGGACCATAAGAAACACCATCTCTACTAACAAGGATGCGTCAACCTACCAGATTATTTCCTGGTATGTTGACATTGTAGCAAGACATCGCAAAGTGTTGTCCAAAACCTTGCAGCAAACATGGGGACCTCGGGCAACTTTTAGTCTTTTGACATAAATAATTTAAAGTTTTTTAAAATGATGCTGGTTAATTTAACCTGGTTTTGATTATATTTGTGCTTGTTGATATTATGTTTTATAGCATTTGTTGGTAAATTTATCTTTGTTTGTATTGTATGTGTTACATATTTTTTATTGTAATGAGTGCTGATGACCTCCATGGTCAAAATGTTGTGCACCCATCACATCGCTGCTGCTGCGCTCATACTATCATGGATAGTGGATAGTTTAGATTAATGTTGTGCACCCATCACAACTGCTGCTGCTGCTCATACTATCATGGATAGTGGATAGTTTAGATTAATGTTGTGCACCCATCACAACTGCTGCTGCTGCTCATACTATCATGGATAGTGGGTAGTTTAGATTTATTTAGCATTTAGTTAAACATGTTTTATATGTGGAAAGTAACTGAAAAAGTAAGGAGGATATAACTGAGCGAAGTAGATCATATATGTATTTTGTATGCTTTGGTGCACAATTCAAAAATGCTTGTATTCTAGCATTCGTCATTCTGTATCCTCATGAGGGGTCCCCACATTTTTAACAGGTCTGATCCAGGGAATTAACTGTTCTCCCCTTCCTTGGATCAGACCTGATTAAACTTCCCAGGCACTGTGTGACCCATAAAGTTAAGTGGTTTTGCATAACTATAAAAATAATAATAATAATTCCTATAATGATTTATTGGAGTTTACAAAGTGATGGGATGAGCTCTAGCTCTTGTGCCCTCATGATATGAGTTGTCTTTTATAGTAATAACAATGAACTTCCCTTCACTAAAAACTAATTATACTCTCATTTGTGATGGAGTGAGTAATGATGAAAGTGTTTCTTCTTTTTCAGGCCACACGGCCTTGGTGGGAAATGACCGACGTGTTAAAAAAATTTAATATTTTTTTTACTTTCAAGGTATCATGGTGCTGATGCTTGATTGTTGATCCAGGGAATTGAAGATAACCTTGGCTTCCCTGGATTAAACCTGATTTCATTCCATTCCCCATGCACTGTGTGACCCTCACAGGTTTAGCACTTCCCCGTGATTATAATAATACTGCAATAATAAATATCTTTACCATGCTAGAATTCCGTATCCGAAAAATTATTGTTTTCATTTTTTCTTTTTTGTATCAGATTTGACATCAGACTCCAGCGTAGGAACAGCACTGGGCTTTCAA